CTCTCTCTCTCTCTCTCTCTCTCTCTCTCTCTCTCTCTCTCTCTCTCTCTCTCTCTCTCTTGGTTGGTTGGTTCTTATCGCAGCTGCCGCGCGAATCTCCCGACGAGATTTCCAGGGCGACCCGTCGAGTGGAAAGCCATTTTAACGCATCCTCACGTCGCGAGCGTATTAAGTCAAAGTTCTTCTTCGGCTGCTGCGCCGAATATACTTCGCCGAAGAAGACGTACTTACCGTGCAGCTTAATTGCTCCATCGCCGTAACACACTTTGCGCGAGCGCTATAAAGGCGAGAGGAGAGAGAACACACATGTCGTGATGAGGATTTTTAATGAGTGCCCTTTGAATAGTCGTTAATCGCGTCTTCCGAACGCGCAATTGTCGAGAAATACATTTCACGAGAAAACTCATCATTACAAGGAAGAGAAATCCAAGCGATATCACTTACTCCTGAACACGTTCGTTGCGCGAAGAATGTTATATGTGAGCCTGTTCAAATCTGTTGAATTTATTTCTTGAAAAGTTCTGTTTATATTAAGCTTAACACGTTTGATTATCGTACGACTTGATCCCTAATAAATGCATACAAGTAAAAAAAGGAAAAAAGAAACATTATGTATTGAGAAAAGTCCTTTGGTTAATATGAAATATAATCGAACAGTTATCGTTGCAAATTATTCCATTTGTCATTTTAAACATATGTTGCCTGAGATACAAACCACACTTGTTCTTGTCTATCTCGGTTAAATTTACATCTCCATTACATGGTTAATGAGTGTCAATATCGTCAAAGTAAATTTCACTTAGGCTGTCTAAGTAAGCGTAAATTATATTCTTAAAAGCATCAAAGTAATATCAAAATTTCGCTTCGGGTAGGTTAAATAGAATCAAAAGAGGTTGATGCAGATTTCAGAATATCAAAATAAGTGTTGAGTAAATAGTAAGGCTGAAAGTAAGATCAACATTTCGGGCAGAAGCGTTGCTTAAAATAGCAAATGAAAAGTAACAAACTATTGGTTCTCATTACGGGGTCATTCGTCGTCCCATACCAACAAACCATTTGTGACGGCTACTAGTATTTTCTTGAATTAGTCAAAATTGTTCTCTCAGTGTACGAGAGCGAATGGATAGCAGAGAAAATGAATATTTCGATCGAGGTGGAAGTTTGTATCGGCTGAGAGAAATTCAGGCGAGGCCGAGATAAAGGGTCGCTCCCGTCTGGCGGATCTGTCTACGTCGAAAGAATCCTACAGGCTCTGCTGCTCGCAGCGGCGAGCCTCGCGGCGCCTTTCTATCGCATTTCCTGCCACGAAGGTTAAAGAGAGAATTGGATGGAAACCGGCAGGACAAGAAGGTGTTATACCGGGCGTAGCATTAAATGCTCCGACGCGGTACAGGCTAAGAGCAACGGTAATTCGTAGCGGGGGGTAGAAGTTCACCTACTCGTTTCAGCCCCGTAGGTCACCGTGCTTAGAGCGCCGTGTCCAGCGCGCCGGACATTGTCGCGCTACTCTTCCACCTTGCCTTGCCCTAGCCTTGCCCCGGCGGAAGAAACTCCGCGTCCCTTCAAGGGCCCCGAGAAAGTTATTGCCGACGATCGACATGTTTTTGTTTCCCTCTTTTTCTGCCACGCGCGCCGTGCGTTGCGACGCCTCGCCTCGCGCGTTGCGCCACTGAGAAAAATAGTTTCGCTAATTTAACAAAATACCAGTACCCGCAGCAAATAGTCGATATATAGGACAGCGAGCGATTCCGTTATGGAAACAATTGATTAATTGTTTTCAATTTGCTGCTGTAACAACACTTCTTCATATACAGATGCTATTGCGCAGTTAATCCAACAAATCGTAAATTGGATTTGCTGGCAATGAAGAAGGCTAGAAATAACATTCAGCATATCAGTTGTATTAACAAAGAAATGTTTCTTTCTGCAAGAATTTGGGGAAAGATATATTTGTTGGTGTTACTATAATATATCATAAGTTGCGTACTTGTAATGAATTTTGTGCATCCAACAAATAATGTGATTTGTATCTCAGGCAATATATGTCTGTTCAAATGACAAATAATGAAAAATAATTTGTTACGATAACTATTCGATCTGTTTCCGCAACGATCATCAACAAACGCGCTTTTGTTCCTATAACAGAAGGATTTCTTTCAGCGTGTACGCTAAGCTTCAATAAAGCCAATCCGAAGCTCGCTAGTTTTTCTAATCCTTCACATCGAATGATCCGTCATTTTGACAGCTTGACATGTCATGTTACATCATATTCCATCATATATCGTATTACATTGTATCCGGACGCGGTATGAGAACGATTAGAAGGATTGGTGAGTCTCGCTTGAGCGCAGACTCGATTAATCGATAAAAATTTTTTTCGGCTAGAATCATCGGTTGATAGTAGTCAGGATTAATCAAACATCATGTATAAAAGCGTCAATAATTTTACCGATTGACATTAATTATTAATCAGTGCATAATCGATCAGAATTAGATTAATAATTAATTTAACTAATAGAACTATTTATAGTCTTATACGTCACATTTTGATATGGTTGATTGTACAACGATTAATAATTAATTCAATCGATGGAATTATTTCTAATTTTAGGAATGACAACTAATCAATTTCATTTATTGACTCGCCGATTATTTCAGTCAAAAGAAACTCCCGAGTCGAAATTTTGACCTTATGTTAAACTTTGATTTCGACAACGCAGTAGAAGCTAAGTTAGCAAAATAGGTATAATTTTAATGAAACAATTTACTCCTACTTTGACTCTGATGATGTCCGAAATTTCTTTTTTCACTTTAGTGTCAAATAGGCTATTATCGAAATTTTGATCCTACAATGTTGAACCTAGAATTTTACACGGCAATAAGAGCTACAATAACAAAGTAGGTTTAATATTCTAATGATATAATTTACTCTTTGATCCTGATGATGTCTGAAATTTCCGCTTTCGCTTTCTTTAGCGTCAAAGTAGGTTGTATAATAGTAGGATCTTAGGAAGCAAAGTAGGTTCAGTTGCGAACCTCTATTGAAGTTCTTACATAAAATACATATATTTTATAGAAATATTTAAAAAATTTAATAAATAACGAAACAGAAACATCAATAGCATACAAAATATACATT